AACCTGTTACAGTGACCAAGCCCCAAACTCAGCCTGCTACAGTAGCCATGCCCAAACTCAGCCTGTTACATTGACGACGCCCCAAACTCAGCCTGTTACATTAGGTGCGTTCGACTTGAAGCAGGGCTACAGACGGCAGTCAACGAGAGTAGCCGCTTGCAGTCGGGGGCGGACTTGTAAACGGAGCCGTCAAGCCGGACACTTTCTGCTCCCGTAGTGACGCTCGCGCGGTGTTTGCATACTCTGTCACAGATGAAGTGAATTAAATGCAATATTTGTCAAATATACAGACGTTTCAGAAACGTTTTCATGACCAACAGATATATACTGATTATATACTGCTTAATACATCGCCATCGGTTCAAGAATAAAGTTCAATGTAAATATATACTATTTAAATACTAATAAAGTGGGGGAACATCAGTGTTTTATGATAAACGTGACTCAATATAACATTGCGACTACAGTAAAAAAGCTTTTACTGTTCTAAAAACACAGATTTGAAGCCATATGTGTTGACTGTGAAACACAGTAGACTTTAATAATATGCATTTATGATGTAATTGCTACATTTTCGCGTCAATCCATGTTCATATTTACTGAAAACAATGCGCTGTTACTTTAATTCAGGTCTTGCAGCGCAGCAATAGACTCAGTGTGGAAACGATCTCTGCACTGCCGCAGACGCACTGCCGGACCGAAACCGTGTGCAGTGAACGCTTTAATCCGTTAACATGAGCTCGGAAAAAATACGCACCGCATACGCACTGCAAACTGAGTAATGTGAACCTGGCATTATGTAATGGCGCTTTTCCACTGCGTGGTACGACTCAGCTCGGCATAGCGCGGTAGCGCACGGTTCGGCTCGGGACGAGGGGGCTCTACGCATGGAAACAGCTGAACTCTTTATGAATATCCAGTGTGCATAACAGTAGGGGTGTAACGGTACACAAATATGACGGTTCGGTTCATACTTCGGTTTTAATGTAACGGTTCGGTATGATTTCAGTACAGCAGGGGGAAAAACTAAACTTTTATAAAAAAAAAAATTTAATAAACAGTGGTTTACTGAACAAGTTGGTCTTTCTTTAAATACATTCAGTTATAATTAAAATTTTCTTAGTGAAAAAAAAAAATCTACCTCAGCTTTATGCTTTAACTATAGGGAGACCTTTTACACATTATTTTTACAATTAGCAACTAAAACTACCAGCAGGTGGCGGTAAATGTCTTAAGAGTCGATTTGTTCAAATACCTGATTCATTCAGGAATGAAGTAAACGCTCTCTTTATGAATGGGCCTTTCAACCCTCTACATTGAGAGTAAATCACTCGCATATGCGACTAAATCTTCACTCTAGGCGACTAAATGATGTCTAATATTAGCCAATGGCTAATAAATTCTCAGATTTTACTTGCCAGTGTGTGAGTTGGAGGCTAAGTATAAGTTTAGCACAGATATATTTTCACTCGCCGAACAATCTCTGACTGAGCGCTTCAGAGTTTCACTCTCCGTCAAGCGATCTGTGCTATTTTTCAGTTCATCTGAATGGATGTGCAAACGCACCTGTATTTGACGTACCATAAACTCTAGTGTGAAGGTGCACGACTCACTGTTGCTTTGTCTCACACACACGCAGAGAGAGAGAGAGAGAGAGAGAGAGAGCAGCTCATTAATCCTTAGTGAATTTTATATTGTTCTTATTAGTACAGAAACACTGAATGACCAAAAAAGCACCACCACTTCCTTTAATAAAAAAAAGAATAGTAATGTACATGTATGCATTTTTACAGTATGTTAGGTCTGCCCAATATATTGTGTCAACAACAATATTGCGATGTGCGTATCCAGAATAGTCACATGCCAGGATGTGCAAGGTTAAGGTACATTAACACTAACATCATAGAAGACAAGTCTGGTATAATGGATAGAGGGATGTACACATTATGTCCAGAAATTTTTCTTTTTTTAAAACAGTGCCCTCTATGAAAGAAGGACCCTAATATATATATATATATATATATATATATATAAATACATATTCAAGTAAATTTATATTTATAGATTAAAATTTATAAAACAGTATTTCCATATTAAAGCTAATCAAGTGAATTTATTTGTTTTCATATTGCAGTATGTATTGTAGAAAAGCAAAATGCAATGTCAGTTTTTTCCAATATCATGTGTCATAACAGAAATCATTCATAATGGCGTTACTGACCAACTTGGCACTTGATTAACAGGACATTTAATTTTAACTAAACCATTACTTTCAGTAAAACTTACATGTATTGCGATGTGCCCATGATGACTTGATATTTGTTAATATTTGTATAAATAGAATGTTGCTTAAAAGGGCATGAGGTAGTATTTAGTAGTAGGTATACACAAGCATGGACTAATGTTGTTTTTGATCACCCCGCTCCCAAATCCCCCTAACAACCCCCCTCCTAAAATAGCCTGTATCGCAGCGAAATGTAATGGTGGTTCTCATTAGGGCTGTGTATCACCAGCAAAGTCACGATACGATACATATCACGATACAGAGGCCACGATACGATACATATCACGATACAGGACTGCACTGAATTTCACCTCAGCAGAATTTACAAAAACAGCTGTTTATTAAACACTGCTTACTATAGTGCCATTTCTAACTATTGGCAGAGCAGGCAGTTGACCTCTGCATTATGAAGGGCCTCCATAACTGTACCACAGTACAATATAGGTAATGGCATATGTTTCATGTTTACATTGGGCACTATTTTAAACAAATTAAGCGCGCTCCACTGCTGCACACGTGCCACAATATCGATACAGGGCCAGCTGTATTGATGCTCGTATCGTCAAATCTCTGTGACGATACATCGTCGTATCGATATTTTGAACACAGCACTAGTTCTCATTGTCCATAAAGGACATCACAACATGTAGAGGGTGGGGATCATCAACAAGAGTGAATGTCCACCAAGTCAAGGACAGAAGAAGGAGACACAGAGAAGGCAAAATAATGTCTGTCAAATCCAACTGTGTCCCATTTTTTCACAATGAATTTGACTTTGGAGTCAAAGACCACAATGTTCTTAATGGTTGCAAACTGGGGCTTACCATCAGCAGAGTGAGACACAAAAAGTGTCATTCCTGACCTGTAGGTTGCTCCCTTGTATTTAATGCAAGATGGTAAATAGATATCTGAGAACAATGGAATTCCCTCAAAACCACATTTCACTTTCTCAAAATCGTCTACAGATGCCAGGAGTGTGGTATATCCTGGACCAACTTCAAAGTCATTTGAGAACATCATCTCAGACAGCAGGGTGTAGCACAACATCATCTGATGTTGGAAAGCCAGTGTTTTTCAAATATTCCGAAAACTGCAGGTTATATGACTTACCCTTTTGAAAAAACCATGCTTCGCCTCGAAACGCATGGACCAGAACCGAACCAAAGGTCCAAGTTTCCTGATGGCCCCAGGATAATGAAACAATAAAGTGTTTTTTTGGCTTCAAAACCCTGTCTGGATAAAGCTCCAAAAACAGACTGTGGTGTTCCTTAATCAGATGCTGCAAAAATATAATTGTCTCTGCAGTCAAGGCTGGAGAGAAAATCAACTCCATACAGCTAAGTAACGAAAGTATTAGTTCCCAGTGTTTCTCACCTTCTGGAATCAAATCTCCTATCATAAGAGGGAGCAGCCTTAGAAGGCACCACATCTGTGCTGCTGTTTGTCTCATGGCCCCATCAGGGTTTTTAAGATCCTGAGGTTTGAAAACAGATGGCTTATTGTGGCTATCAGAAAACCAATAATCAAAGCTTGTAAGTCTATTATTCAGCTGATCAAGTGTCAAGAGTTTTTGTTCAATCAGAGAATTAAGAACAAGCTTGGTTTCGTAACCTCCGACCCCTTCCAGAATGTCATGCATGACATCAGGAGTTACATTGTCAGTTATATGGTAGAACTGAAGTTTATTTAGTGAACACTCTCTTTTGATGCCAGTTTCAGTTGGGTTATTCTGAAGTAGATCAGAGTGGTAGTTAATCCTCTTGCGCATCACTGACAGATCCTCAACTGTCTGTTCTCTCAAAACCTCTCTTTGAACCCGCAACGCCTACTTTAACAGTGCCCTTGAAACATTTTGTCAACCTGAACTCCTTCCAATTCCAGATCCTTAATTTCAGACACAATTGGATCTAAGACAGCATTTATTCCATAAGTTTTTATGTCATCTGTCTTGTACACTGCCAACAAGAAGTGAGAGTTTAGGCTGGAGTAGGGGTGTAACGATTCACTCGTTTTATCGATGCATCGATTACAAACCCTGACGATGCATATGCATTTATCTTGAAACATTCATTACTACAAGCACAAATTAATGGAGACCTTGAACAGTGTTCGTGCCCTCGCATCTCTCCTTCACACGCTCCACTATTTACCGCCTGCAGTGACTGTCACAGGATTGCGCTCGCGCTCAGTTCGTCTCACTGACACATTTTTTGAGCAGCTGATGTGTGATCTCTCCTTAGTAGGCTACTCGTGGCCGGTAATGCTAAAGTGAAGTAGTTTTCCTTTTCTGTAGTTTTTCACCCTCGCATCTCTCCTTCACACGCTCCACTATTTACCGCCTGCAGTGACTGTCACAGGATTGCGCTCGCGCTCAGTTCGTCTCACTGACACATTTTTTGAGCAGCTGATGTGTGATCTCTCCTTAGTAGGCTACTCGTGGCCGGTAATGCTAAAGTGAAGTAGTTTTCCTTTTCTGTAGTTTTTCAGTGGCTCTCGGTCATACCGACGACATTACCTGAGCAGTCGAAGGCTGCGCATTTATTGCATGGACGGAGAAAAAATGTAAGTGTCTAAAGCATACGCACAGTTCCATTGAATGATAAATGTGTTTTAACAATGTCGTTGAACCGAATGTACGAAGGAAACCATTAAAATAACCACAGCATTAACCGCAACCTTGAAATAAGAGCGCAAGGTTTATCAGATGCCTGAAAGTAGCATTCGTTGCTATAGCAAACAGACATCGGGCACGTTTTCTTTTAGAATCATCATTCGCCGATGGAGTGGAAAAGTTAACTCTTTCCCCGCCATTGACGAGTTATCTCGTCATTTAGAAGACAACGCTTCCCCACCAAAGACGAGTTTTTACGGCTTTTCGTGTTTTCACTGTTATACACTAGGGGGCGCTATTACACATCTTCTGAACAAGTACAAAACCTCCCGAACAAAAACACATGTGTACAGGACGGAGAAACGAGCGATCTCTTATGTAAACAGATGCATATGAAAAATAATGCG